TTTGGATTAGATTATACCTGACTAGCCCAGTGGCTTTTCCAGAGCTGCAATCTGCTCCAGGTCTTGTTTTTGCTGACTGTATAGAGCTTCTCCATCTTAGGTTGCAGAGAATATAATCAATCTGCTTTCGGTATTGCCCATCTGGTGATGTCCATGTGTAGAGTCACCTCTTGTGTTGTTGGAAAAGAGTGTTTTAGATGACCAGCTTGTTCTCTTGACAAAACTCTAATGCCTTTGCCCTTTAAACTCCAAGGGCAGACTTACCTGTTGTTCCTTTTATCTTTTGATCCCTACTTTAGCATCCCAATCCCCTATAATGAGAAGAACATCTTTCTTTGGTGTCAGTTCTAGAAGGTGTTGTAAGTCCTCATAGAATTGGTCAATTTCAGCCTCTTCAGCATCAGTGGTTGGTGAATAAACTTGGATTACTGTGATGTGGAAAGGTCTGCCATGGATTCATACTGAAATCATTCTATCATTTTTGAGATTGTATCCCATTATAGCTTTTTCCACTCTTTTGTTGACTATGAGGGCTACTCCATTCCTTCTACAGGCTTCTTGCCCACAATAGTAGATATGATAATCGTCTGAATTGAATTTGCCCATTCCCGTCCATTTTAGTTCACTGATGCCCAGGATGTCGATGTTTATTCTTGTCACCTCCTGTTTACCACCTCCAGCTTCCCAAGGTTCATAGATCTTCCATTCCAGGTTCCTATGCAGTATTTTTCTTTGCAGCATTGGACTTTCCTTTCACTTCCAGGTGCATCCGCAGCTGAGCCTCCTTTCCGCTTTGGCCCATCCACTTCATTAGCTCTGGAGCTACTTGTACTTGCCCTCTGCTCTTCCTCAGTAGCATGTTGAACGTCTTCCGACCTCATCTTCCAGCGTCATATCTTTTAGCCTTTTGTTTGTGTCTATGCAGTTTTCTTGGCAATGATACTGGAGTGGCTTACCAGTTCCTGCTCCAGGTGGATGGCGTTTAGTCAGAACTCTCCACTATGACCTGTCCGTCTTGGGTGTCCCTGCACAGCATAACCCATAGCTTCTCTGAATTACTCAAGCCCCTTCGCCATGACAAGACAGCAATCCGTGAAGGGGCAATTAACTTTACAACCCTTTTAAAAATTGATGGACATTTTTGAACCAAACCTTTTGAATGGGCGGGGAAACGTTTCTTCAGAATACCTGCGATTCCCAAATGGCCAACTAATAAATAAGAAGCCACTGGATTGATTCAGTGCAGGGAGCAACGCTCTTCAGTTGGCAAGACCTGAGCAGGACTGTTAATAACAGAACCTTTTGGTTGCATCTTCTCCACAGGATCGCCACAAGTCGGAAGCGACTTGATAACATGTAACAACAACCTTTTAAACAAACAGTAAAGTAGAACCCAGTACTGTACTGTTCTTGATTCACTGTGTTTTTTGGGTCATGAATATTATACAGTCAATGCATATTTAAGGCGACAGGAGGCGCTCTCTTCCATCTCCCCTGCCTCCCCCCCCCCGTCTCAACTTCAATATAGAGCTACACAATGCACGTACCTCGTTTCCAGTTCCGGATGCCAATTCTCCGAGCCTTCCATGTGAGGGGCAGAGTACTGAAAGCGTGGAAATCAATATTAAAAAATGTAAATGCCAGGACACTGGCCTATGTATCTCTTCCAGTTTCATACGAAATTGAATAATCAGCCTTAGAGACTCCGTTGAGGATGCTTTAAGTAGCCAAACCTTTGCCATAAGTAGCTCGGGACCAGGGCAGGGCTATCCCTAAATATTGCAGGGAGGCGTCTCATTTTCCCCGGTCCACGGGAATTACGTTGCTAACGGGAGTTTGAGCTGGACGAGAGGGACAAAGAACCCTCTTGAGTTGTTGATTGTTTCAGGCAGTCTTTGCTCCTGCCGCTTTGTAATCCAAGTGACATTCGTCTGTGCTTCCACCATTCTTGCCCCGCACATGGAGGACACTCGAAGTCTGAGACCTGAAATCTATGGCGACCATAGTGGCTGCGTCGCTTAGTTCTTCTGCTTTCTAATGGAAGCCACCACGGCTGTGACGGACTGTGCCATAGAGATAAGAAACAACCCTGGCATTCATTCGACTCGCTATTACGGTCTCTTTAGTACCTGCTACAAGGGAGGGCAGTCTTTACACTCAAGCTTGGGTCCGCCTTTCTCTCTCGGGATCGCTCTCGCCCAACTTCCCTAACTCTATCCCTCAGACGCTCAGCTCTCTCTCCCCTCACGTGTGGCGTGGACTCTATAGTTCCTGCCGGTGCCCCGCAATTCTTATGAATAACCAAGAGAGGTAATACATATTCATGAGTCCCCTGGTTTAGGGGGCGAGGCCAGAGCGGAGCCCTCGGGTGTGGAGGGTGTTCCTCTTGGACTCTGCCCCGGGTTCGATCCCGCCTGGCCTCCCGGACCCAGCAGAGCTCCGTAGCCGGGCTGGATGGGGCCATGGCTCCCGGCAACGCAGCAGCCCTGGGGAGGAGGGCCCGGTGAGGACTTT